TAAATTATTATATTGTTAATATGTATTGTTGTAACACTTTGACGTACTAATATTTATAATGAATTGTTTATACATGACTATATCTGGAAATAAATTTAACAGAACTGTACTTGAAATTTTTCAGAACTGATTGTTGGAAGATAGATTTTGTGTTAATATTTTAATATAATTTATTAAACTCCAACAACACTGAGTGCTTGGTAGTTCTCAAGCACTATTATTCAGCCAAGTACTGGAGTTTATCAGTATTTAAGAGTATTATGATGAAATTAAATGAATGAAAACAATAGACTCCATTGTTTAAGAAGCTAAATTTAGCCCACTTAAGGACTATTTTATCATATCCTTTATAATTTTGAAATATTTGAGTAATCTTTCTTTTGCAAATAGTTTAATATAGGTAGTAGTTTGTTTTATTTATAAATGTAAATTAATGATCTGTGAAATCCAAAAGTCTGCAAACTCAAAAATAAGATACCAAATATAAGATTTCAAATATCTCTCTTGAAATTTAAAAACTAATATGTTCAAGAAGTAACATTTTTTAAAATGGCATTTTTACTTTATCTTGACCAACAATTATTCTATGTGTTTATTGTTGGATAATTGATAAAAACATAAAAGAAGAAACTTTATAATTAACTCATATATGAGAAAAATTGTTGGGATTTACTTTGATTTGTAACTACCTATCTTATAATATTAACCGTAGGTAACTTGTATACCACGCCAGAGTTCATCATCTTGGTTCAAAGTTACTGTTTCTCTTGCTGAGCCTTTTTCTTCTAACATTGCAAATATTCCAAGGGATTTGGTTAATGAGATTTTGGAAGAAATGGAGCATAGTGTACCTCTCTTGGAAGTGGATCCTGTTGAAGGACAAGATTCTGAAATACATGAGATTGCTCTAGCCCTGGAAGTTGTAAGGTATTAGGACTTATATTACCAGTGCAAGTGAAAATTATGTTCAAAAATTAACTATATATTTTAAAAAGTTATATATGGTTTTATTAATGTGCACTTTATAAATACTTATTGCTTTGGTTATTATTTATTGCTAGGTTCAGTTTGTCTGTTTTTAATTAATAACTTGTAACTCTCTTTTAGTTAAAACCCTTTTTGTAGAAGTATTATATATGAGCAATGAAAAGTTTGCCATTTTGATCCTGAATTTAATGAAAATGGAATTAAAACATATTAGATATATGTAGCATTAAATTTTGTCCACATTCTAAATATAGTTTACTTCACTTTTCTTATGTGCATTATAATTTTTACATTTTGATTGATAAAATTTGAGAGAAACTATCTATAAACAGAAAAATATTTTTATTTCTCTAAGGCTTTCCTTTCCACAAAATTTTTATTAAGCGTTAAGGAATATTTCTTTAGTGAACAAAATCTGTAAAATTTGGAATTTTATTTTATAATCTTACTTCAAGAAATAGCTGACCTATAATAATAAGCTAAAATAGAGTCAAGATCATCTAATGTTTTTAACTTTTTATTGTGACTTCAGTGAAAGTTTGCAGAGCAAATTGTGGTTATTTTTTCAACCACTCATACACATTTTGTTTTCTTTTTAATTACAGTCCCCACATTGTACTAGCTCCCTTCCCACTTCTTCCCTGTGATTTGCATTTCCATTCATCCTTCTGAGCTTTATCTTTTTAATTCTAATTATAGTGGTGGTTGTCTTATCTCTAATCTTTTTTTTTTCCCAGGTTTTTTTATGACTTTCTTTGGAGAGACTGGGATGATGAAGAAAGTTGTGAAAATTATACTGCTCTTATTGAAGAAAGAATTAGTTTGTAAGTAGAGTTACAAAATTAATTATTACTTTGAAGAAGATAAGCATTGTAAATATAATGGTACTTTTCAGGTGGTGTGATATACAGGATGGAACAATACCTGGTCCTATTGCACATCGCTTTAAAAAAACTTTGGAGAAATATAAAAATAAGCGTGTAGAACTCATCGAGTACCAGAGCAACATTAAAGAAGATCCATCTGCAGCAGAAGCTGTTGAATGTTGGAAAAAGTACTATGAGATAGTAATGCTTCGTGGATTATTGAAAATGTGGGAAGATTTACGCCTTCGGTAATAATCTTTTTTTTTTTTAAAGATTTTTTTAAATTTTTTATTTTATTTTATTATTTTTGTGTGAGTGTACCGTCAAATCAGATCTGACTGGTACAGGAGGAGATTGTCCCTCCTTCCCCGGCAGAGCATCTGGTGGATTCGAACTGTGCGCCTCTAGGACTGTAGTTGCAGCTCCTTACCACTAGACCACCAGAGCTCCCCTGGTAATAATCTTTTGTATATTAAATAGAAACAAAGATTTTTAAAATTATGATTTTAAGGAAAGGTTATGTAAAAGTTGGATTGTCATTCATTCAGTGTTGGACATTTTCCTTGCTACCCTCCCCCCTTGACATTTTTTTCAATTTTATTTTATTATTTTGTGTGTGTGTGTACCATCAAATTGGATCTGACTGGTACAGGAGGAGATTGTCTCTCTTCCTTAAGCAGAGGATCTGGTGGATTTGAACCACATATCTCTGTGATTGCCGTGCAGCTTCTTGCCACTAGGCCACCAGACCTCCCTGACATTTTTTTTTAAAGAAATCATTCATTGTTGCATAATTTCCTCCTTCTTCTCTTCCCCTCCTTCAGTCCACTTTTTTTATACACCACTTACTCTGGACTATTGTCAGAAAAATATCGCCTATTCATATCTTCTTTAAATAGTTCTTTGCTTCATCTGTTCTAATGCAGTGTTCATTATTTCTCTGCTCTTTTCTTAGTTCCACCCCCCCCCAATTCAACTCCCATATCAGTCCTGTTTTATAACAGTGGTATTTTGTTGTATTTGTCCTTTTGTGACTGAGATATTTCAATTAGCATAATGTCCTCCAGGGTCATCCATGTTGTGTAATATTTTATGAGTTCCATTTTATGAGTTGTGTAATGTTTTATAAGTATTCCATTGTGTGGATATACCATGCTTTTTCTATTTATTCATTTGTTAGGGGTACTTGGTTTGCTTCCATCTCTTTGATATTGTGAATAACGCAGCAATAAACATGAGTGTGCGTATATCTCTTTGGGTGGCAGCTCTTGTTTCTTTAGAGTATGTTTCTAGTAGTGGAATTGTTGGGTCAAAGGATATTTGTAACATTTTCAGAAAGCACCATACCGCCTTCCATCGTGGTTGCACCATTTTACACTCCCACCAGAAGTGAAGGAGGGTTCCAATGTCTCTATAACCTGGTCAGCATTTGTTGTTTTGTGCTTTGCTGTTGTTACTGGGGTTAAATAATACCAAACGGTTGTTTTGATTTTGCATCTCTCTTTATAGCCAGGGAATTTGAATATTTCTTTATGTGTTTGCTTGCCACCTGTATGTCTTCTTTGGTGAAGTGTCTGTTCATATCCTGTGCCCATTCTGTGATTGTATTATTTACCTTTCTCTTATTGAGGTGTTGGAGTGTTCTATAAATTTTATATATGAGTCCCTTATCAGATAGGTCACTACCAAATATTTTTTCACCCAGTCTTTGGGTTTCCTTTTTACCCCGTTACAGGAGGTTTCTGATGTTCATAGGAATTTAATTCTTAAAAGGTGCCATTTATTTATTTTGTTCTCTACTGGTTGTAGGTTTTTGAAGATGCTTGGAAGACTATTCTTACTGTGTATTAGGCTTCCAGGCTTTTGTCTGATGAAGTTTATAGTCTTTGGTTTTACTGCTAGGTCCTTGATCCACTTTGAGTTGGTTTTTTGTATGGCGTGAGATGTGGATCTTGTTTGAGTTTTCTACAGATGGTTTTCCAGTTTTGCCACCATCATTTGTTAAAGAGACTTTATTTCCCATTTAAGTGATTTCATCTCCTTGTCAAAAATCAGTTGTCCATAGGGAGATGAGCTGATCTTTGGGTTCTCAGTTCTATTCCATTAATCTACATGTTTGTCACTATACCAATAACATGCTGTCTTGACCACTATGGCTGTTTAGTAGGATTTGAGATCAGAGAGTGAGATGCCTTCTACCTTTGTTTCTCTTTTTCAGGACTACTTTCCTTCTTCAAGGTCTTTTTCAATTCTAAATAAAATTTGAAATTACCTTTTCCATCTCATTGACGAATGGAATTGGTATTTGCATTGAGATTGCTTTGAACTTGTAGATTGCCTTTCAAAGAATTGTCTTTTTCACAATATTGAATCTTCTTATCCATGAGCATGGTATATTCCTCCGTTTTTCCTCACAATATTGAATCTTCTTATCCATGAGCATGGTATATTCCTCCGTTTTTCCAGGTCTCTTTTTGTTTCTTGAAGTAATGTTTGTAATTTTCTTTTCTTGGAATAGGTCTTTTGTGTTTCTAATTATATTTACTCCCAGGTATTTAAGCTTATGGTTAGCTATTGTGATGGATATTGTTTTTCTTAGTTCCATTTCTATATTCCCTTTGTCACTGTGGAAAAATTAAGTTGATTTTGTATGTTCATCCTGTATCCTGGCACTTTGCTGAATTGATTGATTATGTCCAGTAGTTTTCTCACTGAGTCTTTAGGGTTTTCTAATTATGCTATAATATTATCTGTATATAGAGATAATTTTACCTCCTCTTTGCCAATTTAAATGCCTCTTATTTCCTTTTCTCATCTGATTACTATTGCTAGACTTCCAACACAATAGTTGAATAGGAGAGGTGATAATGGGCATCCTTACCTAATTCCTGTTCTCAAAGGGAATTCCTTTAATCTCTCTGTGTCAGGGATGCGTCCTGTCTCCATAGCTTTTCAATGTATATGCAGAATAGATCATTTGAAAAGCTGGGCTTTATTTTGGACAAGAACAAACTGGGAGGAGGGTAGGGAGAATAGTGCAACAATGAATGAGTGGAAGCCCAAAATCTCTGTAAATGTTTATGAAAATTAATAAAATATAATTATAGA